AACAGACACACTACTCAAAGAATCCTTTCAAAAGCTGGAACCGGAGGCAGAGAGCACATCCAAGCTCCAGCTAAAGTAGCCAAGTGGCCTTGAGGGTTCGCAGCATTCCATGATGCCAGAAATGACTGCTGTGGACAAGTCTGGGGAGGGGTGAGAAATGTCCGTGTGTGCATAGGAACTCTTAAGAAATACTACATGAATATGTGGAGGCATTGGCAAGAGCGCCCTGGGAAACCGCCTATTACATGACTAAGGCTCTGAGAAATCAGCGCTGATGGCCCAGCAGAACGTTCGCCAGCCAAATCTGTCGTTGAAAACCTCAGAGGGCTTCTGGGACCATGTGGATTATGGGCTGTGGGAATCTCAGGTCATAAAACTTTCGCCCAGCTGCTCGAGTGCCTGGCTGGGCAATTAAGGAGGATTCTTTCAAGCAGATCAAAAGGCTCTGGGGAGGTGATCTCAGGAAGCCTCCTGCCCTCCCTGTGAGGAAGGCAGGAGTCAGGTCTCATTATCCTCATTTTGCAGATGAGAAAAGTAGGTTCCCTGGTGACTAAGTCCCTTGCCTGAAGTCAAACAGCCAGCAAAGGGTGGAACCCAAAATAAGCGTCTTGGTCACCCAGCTCCCAGGACACAGTCACTCAAAGCCTCCCGTTCCATGGACGATGGACTGTTTCTGGGCAGTGTGGACACACATTTGGAATTTTAGGGCATGAAGTGAAGTGGTCCACAAGTTTTCTCCAACCTCGTAGTGCACACATCTGCCCTATGCAACATCAGATATTTCCAGAGTCTTCTCACGTTAGCTTGTTCTGAAGCCCAAGATTGCCACTAACAATACAACCAAGTTCCTCCTCGGCACACCGTGTTTTAAATGGGAGTTGATGTATTACTCTTAATGTAAAGGATACTTGTTACAGCAAGAAAACTTGTAGAATCAGAGACAGGTCCGACTTGTCACGGCTTTAAAATTCAACCTGGGACCCTACCACGTCCCTCCCTAGTCATGCCACAGCTGCCTGGTCACCAGTGTGTCCAGAAGGGCACCCAATCACAAGCAGATAACAAGAGAGTGGGTTGTGTGATGCAGGAGGCATGTGCACCTGTGGACCTTACTCTGCTCTTGTTTGGATCTTGACCTTGAAGACTTCCTCTCCATTCAATGTGCTTCCCTAATCATTCAGTGTGCTTGAAAAGGCCAATCCTAGAGAGGCTGCTGTTCCCTTTGGATTCTGGCTTCACATCATACACACCAATGTCGTGCCCCAGCCTGTCAGCACATCCCATTGGTCTACTCTCTTCTTACTCCATACCCCTACATTTCTGAGATTTGCTGTGACCCAGGAGCACATGCAGCCCTCTTCAGGGTAAGCTAGGGAGGTGGTGCTTCCATGAGTGACCCTCCACTAATACATGACAAGAATTAGTACTCAAATACCCCAGTTGCCTCATCCTTCATGGGGTAATTCAAAGATAAACCAAGACCCTAAAGGGTCCCCAGCACAACAGAGTACCAGGTGCCCACAGTAGCAACCAGCTCATTCATGAATCTTCGCTGGCCCACTGCCTCACTGCCCTAAAGGTGCTTCCTTGGACCATCTCCAAATTAATCTTGTACCCCAAGTCCCTACCTGGGACTGCTTTGAGGGAACACAAAGACCAATTCTTCAACAAAAAGTTTTCATATTAAAGGATTACAAATCATTTCTCTTACTACTGTATTAGATAAACATGGACTATGACAGGGAGTAAGTTTAAGAGGATAAAACCCTTGAGGACAATGCAGTGCTCTCGGTAGACTCCTCTAATACCAACTACCCAGTTAGCTCAAGGTCAGGGCCTTACTCACTTGTCACTCTGGTCTCAGTCATGACTATGAAGCAAGTCCTCCTGAGCCGGTCACCAGGGAGTGCTAAGCTGTTAGAAATAAATTAACTAGACTCTCCAGGACTGAGACAGTTTGCTGCTCATCAGCTCACTCAATGCCAACTTCTGCCATTTTTGTTCACCCTTTTCCTTCCAGTTCACAAACTTTAAAGTTAAAAATCAGTGCACTCTCTAGTTCTTTACCTGCGTGAGTCTCAGGAAGTCTTCACTTAGCTGAGGCAAGGCATCTTCTCAATGACTTATTTGATTTTTAGCCTCCCTCCCCCAGATACACACATCACAAGAAAGCATATCCTGGCAGCAACTGCGTAAGTGAGCTAGAAAGCAGATCCTTCCTGGTTGAGCTTTCAAATGACCTCAGCTGTGAGGGAGACCGAGCACCAAAGGCCCCAGTTAAGCTTCTCCCAGATTGCTGACCCTTTCCATCACAAAAAGCACCCTACCCAGCTCTGAGGATGCATCTAAGCTTTCTCTGACAGACCTATTTTCCACCAAAGCTTGTTAAATTCAGCTTCCAGGGTCTTTGTCCTTGTGAAGCTTTTATAAATACTTGGAATCTAATGAGAATTTTTAAACAAAATTATATTCAAATGTGCTGTGCCCTGAAGTGCTTTTCAGATGTTCATGTGTCTTAAAGAAGATGCAGTCATTTTTTCTATTGCCATGCAACACATTGCCACAAACACAAGAGGCTTAAACAACACAGTTATTATTCTCAAAGTTTCTGCGGATCAAGAGTTTAGGGAGAGCTTAACCACGTTCTCTGCTTAGAGTCTCACCTGCCTGCAATCCAGGTGCTGGTCAGGCTGGAGTCTCATCTGGAGACTCAACTGGGAGAGAATAGATGTCCAAGCTCATTCAGGCTATCCATTTCCTTTAGGTGTTTGCAATATGGGAGGAGGCTCTTTCAGGGCTCTTGGTTAGAGACTGTTCTCAGTTCAGAGAAGCCAGCCACAGTTCCTTGCCATGTGGACTTATGGTTACTTATTTCTTGGAGCCCTCATGAAGAATCTCTGCTATGATAATCTTATATGATATAACTGAATCATGGAAGTGACATCCCATCACTGTTGTCAAAGTCTATTGGTTAGGAGCAATTCACAGTTCCAGCAGGCAAAAAGGAGGGGATTTTACAAAGGCATGAACACTAAGAGGTAAGGATCATGGCGATCGCCCTACCATAGGCCCACTACAGTGGGGATCTCTGCTTGAGCTTGAGCAACCATGACTCACATTTGCCAGCAGGATGCCCCAGCCAGCAGATGACGATGACCTCACACTCTCCATCCCATCACCAGCAGGGGAACCATCCCAAGCACACACACCCGTCACCACCACCAAGCACTTCATGCCTTTGCAATCATGTGTCCCTGTCTTTGAAATTCTTGTGCCGTTCACATTCAACTCGTAATGTAAATTCTTGTATAAACAAGATTTGGTGACTGGACATGATGAAATACTACTCAGATATACATGTATCTATATCTATATATCTATATAGATACAAAGATGAACTCTTGCCATTTGCAACAACATCGATGGATAATGCCAGGTGAAATAAGTCAGAAGGCAAAAGACAAAAACCAAATGATTTCACTCATATGTGGAAGATAGAGAAACAAAACAAAGGAAGTGAAAAAAACTAAACCAGAACAAACCCTAGACAACAGACTATAGAACTGAGGCTACTACAGGGGGTGGGTAGGGACAAAGGTGAGAGGGAGCACAGTGGTCTAAGGCAAAGGGAGATGGATGTCTTGTTAGTCGTAGGGTGTGGGGAAATATATGTGGGGAGGTCTGAGCCTGTTCTCCTGAATCATACACTGCTGTGAACCAATGTTTACTCAATTAAAAAAAGACATGTGTGTGTATTTAATATTTGTTGGTTAGATGTCCTAATTTTCCCCCATGATGTCTTCCAATGAAACCAGCACTAGGGAGATGTGCCATGTTTTCTCATACGGAAATATGTAACTGTCTTTGAGAAGAATAATTCAGACTGTATTCATCCTAGTTTTCCGATCCCTTAATGTTTGCCTGGAGGGTTTATAGGATGGGCTCCCCAAGAATCTACTTGCACAAACCATCAAAGAGCCTCCTGGAAGGAATTCATTCCAAGCAAAAGTTGCCTAAACTTTGCTCATCTTTGCCACACATTCTTGATATTTACCACATTCATGAAGCTATACTTCTTATTTTCCTTTAAATTGGCTCCCTTTTTTTTTTTAACTTAGCCTCTTCTTCAGTAATAACATCCAGTTGCATTTTAAATAAATGGCTAATGACTAAGTATTTCCTAATATCAAAATTTACTTCACCCTCCCCTCCTACCCATGGGAGGAAGCCTCTAAGATGGGCCCGCTCATCTCCTGTTATTCATCCTTTATGTAATCACCTCCTGAGCAAGGGCTGAACCTAGTTACTTGTTTCTGATTACTAGAATTTGGCAAAAGAGGCGGGATGTTACTTCCAAGACAAGGTTACAAAAGACCATGACTTATGTCTTATTTGCATTCTCTCTTGCCCTCTCACTTGCTCATCATGATGAAGCCTATATTATGTTGTGAGATAAGCTGTGGAGGGGCTCCCATGGCAAGGAATGGAAGAAGGCCTCCAGCCAACAGCTCTTGAGGCACTGAGGCCCTCAACACTACAGCCAGCAAGAAAGCCGATCCTGCCAGCAACTGTACAAGAGAGCTAGAAAGCAGATCCTTCCTGGTTGGGCTTTCAAATGACCTTAGCTGTGTGGGAGACCTAGAACCAAAGGACCTAATTAAACTTCTCCCAGACTGCTGATCCAGAAAAACTGTGAGATACTGGGTAACACTGTTTTAAGTCACGTAGTGTTGGTGTAATTTGTTACACAGCAAGGAGGAAATAGGTAGCTAATACACCCTCCACCAGTTGTTTGTGCCTGACACTGTAGAAGTCCCAGCCTGAAGGATCAGTGTGAAGGCACTATACCCATTGTGAGAAGTTGGAACAACTTGGGTGTAATGGCTCAGAAGTTTCCTGATCTAGCACTTTGCACCCATTGGGCAGCTTATATCAGAATCTATGAGGTTAGAAGCTGAAACAAGAGAAATCAAATAGAATTAGTTTATTAAAATCTCCATGAGCTACTGAGAGGCAGGGTGACCTTGCTTTGGAGCACAGGTAAGCAGCAGACACAAACACAGCATTTTCTTCTGGTCAACCTGGAATACAAAATGGACACTGAAACCTCAACACAGATGCCAGCCACCAGCCACACCAGTGTCAGCAAGGGCTTCCAAAACTTGGCTGTAAACATCGGAGTTGAAAGCTACAACTGAGAGAAGAGTAAACACTAAGTGGGAGCCAGCAGGACAGAGTTCACATGTACACAGGAACCATCCCCCCAAAACTTCAGAAATAACTGAAGTACGATCCTTGGCAGTGAATCCCAGGCAATGGGATAAGTGACTGGTACGAGGGTAGATAAGAGAAATACAAATATGTATTGATGCTCAATCAAGTGGAGGGTGTGATGAATATGGTGACCCTGATCCTCCCCCAAAACCAGGGCCCATGGCAATGAATGGAAGAAGGCCTCCAGCGAACAGCTCCTGAGGCACTGAGGCCCTCAACACTACAGCCAGCAAGAAAGCCGATCCTGCCAGCAACTGTACAAGAGAGCTAGAAAGCAGATCGAATATAAAATATTTTTCTTTTCAATGGTTGTGGAAGTTCCTACAATTCAAGGATGCAGGGAAAGACACCGTGGTGTTTCCTGTTTAATGATTCCAACACAAGTAAGTTTCAAGCTCTGCCCTCTTGTCCATTGGCTAGAGGCTGCTTTTTTGCAGGGTCTACTGAGTGTAGAAGCCTGTGTGTTCAGGGCTGTGCAGGGCGAATATCAGTTACTGCCTCCCTCCTCATCACACCACAGCAGGCCTCTTCTCAAATTTTTGGAAAGTCCAACTGCAAAGCTCACTTCTCACACTCAAGGTGAACAGAAAATGTGGGTAGGAGAGAGCTTCAACGCACCTCAGACCATTTCCAAAATCATAAAAGATACTGTTTTAAGCCACCAACCACTGGGGCAATTTGTTACACAGCAGTCGATAATTAATGCACCCTCCAAAAGATGGTTTCTGCTCTGCGCTTTCTTTTTTTCTTCACTTAAATGTTTTTAATGATAATAACGACAAGCCTTGGTAAGAAAGTTGAAAAAGAATATCATTCCAATCCTGCAGTTTTCATGATAAATGAAACTTTCCCATGAGGAATACAGTCCTCTTTAAGGCGGGTTCGCTGTAGGGAATGTGAGAAAATGATTCCTACATGATTAAAATTTTTCTTGGTAGATTCAGCGGCTCCTTATCTGGATTTTTCTAGTAGGAGACAGGAGACTCATCAGCCTTAGTAAAATATTATGGAAATGTCAAAATCCATAAACATTGAAAAAGCAAACTGCAGACCCACGTCAGTAAGTGATCATTAAGAACTTTGCAGATTTGATGTGTGCTGCTCTTAGTAAACACCATCTTTAAGGAACAGCACTGAGGCACCATCCTAACAGGGTAGGTAGGATGAGGATGAGAAGTAGAACAAGTAGGAAGGGGGGAAACTAGATGAAAAAAAAGCTTTGGGTCCTGGTTCCAACTCTATGGAGACCCAGCAGCTGTGTGAACTCGGTGAGATCATTTCCTCTTCTGTAAAGTGGAATTAATGATAAATGCCCTTCTTACGTCATACTGTGATTATGGGACTCAAATTACAGAACCCAAGTGAAAGCTTTGTAATATATGAGGTTATATACCGAGTGAGGGGTTATAATCATCAACATTATCATCATCATCTTCATTGCTGGCTGTTACAAGGTAAAATCAACAAAAGTTTGAATGTATCAAAGATCGACCAAGCAAACAGAAACCACTCCACGTATCTGGAATGGGGAAATTAATACAGGGAGTGGGTGACCCAGACGATGGGCAGGCTGAAGAGTCAACGAGGAAATAATGAGGCAGCCCAGAGATTAACAATAGCAGGAAGTCACAATCACCCCTTGGCTGGAGGGACAAAGAAGGGAGAGGCAGGATCCTGGACACTCAAGGCTTTAAGATTCTAGAAGCACACTAGAAGCTGGAGCCAAGGAAGAACTTTCCCCTCAGCCAGGGACACCTCTGAAGGCAGAGGGTAGGAGAAGCACCCGGTTTCTCTTCTCCTGACACCCTTCAATCACAGCCCCATGCCCCTCGCTGGCTGCACCCAGCCAGAAACCAGCTGACACAGAAGTGACACAGGTCTGGAACTGGCAAGCCTGGACCAAAGGCGTGAGCTATTTGGCAAAAAATGCAGTTATTTGCTAGAAATGAAAGTAACAACAAAAAGATTCAACGCCCCAAAGACTCAGACGCCAAGAGTTCCTGGGAATTCTTTTGGTCCAGCCCTAGTTCTACAGAGAAGGCCCCAGAGGAAAATATAATTCACCCAAGGTCAGGTGGCAAGAGGCACACGTGCCAAGGGGAAGCCCAGAACATGGGCACCTGAGTTTCTCACCACGGCATCAGCTTCACAACAGTGAATAGCAAGGGCTCTTCCATCGAACAGAAGACTGTGTTCTGATAGCTGATTTATAAGAGTTGTTTGGACCTTAGAACTCAAAATCGCATAGAAACAAGGTCACCTTGGCTGATGGAGTCCCAGGCTGGCTACTGAATGGCTACTTATCCCACAACTGGGAAAGGAAAGGAAACTTCCTACACTGAATTAATGAGAAATCAAGAGGCCGAGTGGCATCTTTCTCCCCGGGCAGACCGGAAGAGAATTCTCTCCCATCTTGCCTCTCTGCCACGCTGGCCGAGGCATTAGTGAGCAGGAGGGGACGGGGTAGGCCCTTGCTCTCCATCGGGTGAGGAGATTCTCTTTGGCCACCACTGCCTCTTCCCACAGGGGTTATGCTATGGCCACAGGGCCAGCTGGATTCTGGGTTTTTGTTTTGTTTTGCTTTGGGGGTTGGGGGTATAAAATAGCATCATTATTAGAGAATTTTATATTCAGAAAATGAAAAATATCCTTTGGTTTTCCTACTTTAAGTTAAGCAAAGTAAAAATTGTACACATGCACACACACCAAGGGCCCTTCGATGGTGAGACTCGGGTAAGCTGGAGGAGGGGGTTGCCATCTGTGAGAGGAGCAGCCTCTTCTCCGAGCTGCAGTGGCTTCCCCTCTAGGTTTGGCAGACAATTCCTTCAACAGGTCAAGGCTGGCCACTCTTGATCTTCTGGGGGAGCTCCAAGGTCAAGAGCCAACCCCAAAAGAGAAACCAGTGCCCCTGCCAAGTGAGAATAAGGGCAAAATTACTGGGATTTCAAAATGACATGCCACTTGGTGACTATAGCTGAAATGGAAACTGAAATATATTTTATGCTCTGATGATCACAACACAGAGACAAGTTCCTTCAAACCTTAACTCTCCCCCCGGGCTGATGAGGACGGGAAAGCAATGTCCGCAGCTTCCCCGGCATTCACACTCCAGTCTCCTTTGCTGGAGAACATCCCTATGCTGCAGAGTGCAGCTGAATATTCCCCACCTCACCCCTTAGCCCTGCCCCATGTCCCCATGCCACTGAGCCACCATATACCGCCATAAGGCACTACCCCAGGAGGTGCCACTTCCATCAGCTGCAGTGTGAATGGCACCCCTGGAGTTGTATGGTGCTCTATCCGAACCTGTGTTCTGAGGCCCTGTGTTTAGGCTGCCACCTTACAAGGCCATGGGCTCCGCCCCGAGTTGCCGTCACTTCCATGTCCCTGTCACCTAGCACCGTGCCTGGTACATGCAGAACCTCAATATAAACCTCTAGGGATTGAAGCATGAATTTGGGAAGAGTCAATGCCACTCTTAAGAAATAGGCAATTATTTGAAATAGGAGCAAAATCCTAATTAGAGTGTGGATACTTCTTGAATTAACCTTTGATGCTTAAGTAGTAAATATAACATCTAGGTGTTAAAATCTCTGCTTCTGCCTGTGTTTGAATCCCAGCCCTGCCACTTCCAGGGCCATGCTGGGCATGTTCAAAATCCCTCTATGTCATCCCTGGTGGTGCAGGGGTTAAATTCTCAGTGCTATCAACATCCACTGCAGCCTAAGTTTGATCCCTGGCCAGGGAGCTGACCCACATGGTGCAGCAGACCTCTCCTGTCTCACACTGCTCCCCTCAGCAGTGTATTTCAGTAGATCTGCCTATTCTGCTCCCCACTCTGTCTCTGGTATATCCTCTCCCCATCCACACCTCTAGCCTACACCCCAGATCTTGTACAGATAAATAAATAAAAATAAATCTTAAAAAAAACCCAAAAACCCTCTCTAAGTCTTAGTTTCCTCACCTGTGGGGCCCGCTGAGCGAATGACTTAGTGCATGCAGGATACAAACGCTCAATGCATCTTAGCAGTAGAGCAAGTAGCAGTTAATGGCCATCAATCAGTGCAGCACTAATCCTAAAAGGTGAATGTTAGCCCTCAGTATTTATAACCCACAAGTAGGGATATGCCAAGGCATAGTAAGTGCTTAATTAAATGAGAGGCACGAGAGAGGATGGGGGAGGGGGCAGAAGAAGGGAGAGTGGAGAACTCTACTGAACTGGGAGTCAGAAGAGAAACAGCGTCAAAACTGCCATCACTCACGTGGTGACTGTGGGTTCCTTTCTCAGTCTCACGTTGCTCCTTTGTAAGATGAAAGGTCAAGAGATGATGACCCGGTTCCCTTCCTCAGAATCCCCTCCAGAACTCCAGCTCCCGATCAATCAGCCTGTCCCCGCAGATCCTGCAGGTGGTGCTGCTGAGTTGGGAAGGAAACCTGTTTTTCTGCTGCCTGGCCCCAGCTGCATTAGCAGCAGCCGGGAATTAGGGGAAATCACTTACTTGTTGCTGAAAATGCCTGGGGCAGTCGACGAGTCATTCCATTTCCTTTCCTGCCTCCTTGGCCTCTCCCCATCTCTGAAAGCGCCATGGGTGTGGGAGGCAGCTGGCCCTGGATTTCAAGTCCAGTTCCACCACTGCCCAGCTGGTGACCTTGGACAAAGGCATGTGCCCTCTCTGGGCCTCTTTTATAGTCTGCCAACTGAGGGTAATCACACCTATGCCCCTGGAGCATAGGGAAAATTAATTAATTAGCGTCCCTCCACCGAAGTGCAGGGAGCCTGGCACGCAGTAGGTCTCTGGGAAACGTTAGTTTCCGTTCCTCCCCTGCTTCCGTTCTCTACGACCCTGGTGAGTGCTTGTGATGAAATCAACAGGGCAAGCCACAGAGAGGTGGGTTTCACTGTCATCTGAGACAGGAAGAAGTATCCCAAACAAAAAAGCTGGCAAGCGCAAAGGTGTAGCCCACCTCGTCCAGACCCCTGCCCAGGCCCTTGCAGACTTAGCCGTCCAGTGGTCTTGTCCACCTTCTTGGAACCTTATGTGCCAGGCGTGTCTCTAGGATCTTAACCTATAAGGTAAACTGGATATGGGGAGCATTTTATTCCTCTCTGTGTCCTCAGAGCCTGGCACAACATAAGCCTTCATGACTAAATGAGCCAACAAAATTTCCCCACTGGCATCCATTCTGCCTGGCACTGGCTACCTGTGTATGCAAGCATCCTCTAGCTGCCACCCATCCCTGCATACCTAGCCTTGGTGCTTGGTGCATGTGTCCTTTGTTTAAATTGAATTGTGTTTTCTTTTGTTGAGCACATGCAGCCTGCCAGGCACTCTCCTGAGCACTGGATGACAAAGACACAGACGCCAGGGAGCCATGCAAGACCCGGAGGGCTCGTTCTACATGAGTGGAAGTTCAGGAGCACCGGTGCATGGCTATGCTCACAACTCAAGTCTAGGTGCTCTCTGTGTGCTCCTCCACTGAACCCCAGTGAGCCTCTGAGGCAGACGCTATGATTAGCACCATTTCACAGATGGGGAGTCTTGTCCCGGTGACAGAACAAGACTGAAGCCAGGTGTCAGGCACAAAGCCCTTACTGTCCACCTCTGTGGCAAGCATATACAAATCATTCAGCCTTGTGTGCAGGGTTTGGGGCTGAGGAACAGGATGGGAGCTGGGAAAAAGTGACCAGAGGAGTCAGTGTGAGTTGGGTCTTGAGGGACTGAATGTTCCAGAAAGGATCTCGATGGCAGTGAGGCTGCCACACGCCTGGACTCAGAGCCTGCCTGGGAGACACAGGCTGCTCCTCCCTTCGGCACATGCTGGGTCTGCAGGAGGTCAGCTCAGGAAAAGGCCCAGGACCAGAAATTCTAGAAAACATTTTCTAGAGGGCAGTTAACAAATAGAAACATTCATCCATTTTAGTGGCTGATCTGTGTGACTGGCCTGCCTTTAGTCTGGGCCATCAGACAGACAGAAACCCTAAACGTTTACTCAACATTCACTAAACACCTACTGTGTACCAGGCAGTCACCCATGAACACCCATGCTGTGCCGTGAGCGTTGAAATGTCAGAGGCCGTGGAACAATGGAGGTCGAACCTGTCTGGGTTTGGCTGTCAGCTCAGGTCCTCACCAGATACGTGACTCCACAGAAGGTAGCTCTCCCCTCTGAGCCTCGGTCTCATCTGTTAAATGGGAGCAGTGATGGTAGCTGTCCTGGCAGACCATCATATTAGATGAGGTCACTCACGTCAAGGGCTTAGAACACAGCTGCGCAGAACATCAGCACTCAGTAAATGCTGGCTACTGTGCTTGGGTGCTACTGTTGAGTATTCACTCTTTATTGGACACCTGCTAAGTGCCAGGCGCTGGGTTGGCAGCAGAAGGTGCAGAGATGAGGAAGACCAGGGCACAAGCACTCCAGTAGGTCAGCATCTGTTAGGAGGAGCTGATGAAAAAGTGATCACACCAGAGGGAAATTAGTGCTCTATTCATCGTCATCATCCAGAAGCGCTAGTGCCTGTGGTGTAGTTCCCGGGCACCAGACACTGTGGGACGTTTCACTTGCCCCAGGGAGACACCATCACTGGGTCTAAGTCCTACTCCAGACACCCAGGATTGCACACTGGGGTGTGGCTGGTGTCTGGCTTCAGAATGGAGACCACTGAGTAAGAGAGGCAGAGCTGTGGGGGCACAGGAGCAAGGAGCAGAAGAGGCGACCTCACAGAGGGGGTGACGTTTGAGCTGTGCCTTCAAAGATGCTGAGAAAGAGAAGGGATTCCAGGAAGGGAAGAGGAGGGGGGCAGGCCAGCCCAGGATGCAAAGGGCTGGGGGTGGCGAATGATGTCATCGTTTGCAGAGAAGGATGAAAAGTTGTCCTGCCTGAGCCTCGAGAGGGGAGCCATCACTCCCGCATATCCCGGAGAAGGTTTCCCACTAGGGGATGCTGAGTGAAGAGAAATCGAGGCCGCTACTCCTCCCCACCGCCCCTGCCCCCAGGAATCTGGACCCAGGCAGGATCCGCAGGCTTCTAATTAACGAGCCCCATCAAGAAGCCTGTCCGGCCTCCGCATGGTGCGTAAATAATTTACAGTGACAGAGCGTGTTTATGTGGGATGGCAGCCAGCCGCCTGCTTCTTCAGCGTCCTCCCGCTCGGCTGGCCAACAAGGTCCCCACAGACCCACAGGAGGACACGGAAGCCCAGGAGCCCCCAAGACTCCCTCCAGCATGACCTGTCCTAGTGGGAGGCAGGGATGTCACAGCCAGGAAGGCTGTGGGCCCTCAGCCGTGGTGGCCCCGGAATCACATCCACTTCCAACCCTGTGAGGGCCTGAAGGGGCCTTTCGTGTTCTCCGCACATTTCTCAGAAACAAGCCAGAAAGGTCTAATGTAGCCTGGGAACATGGTCGAGAACTGGGCACAGAACGGGAACGGCCAGGCGCGGAGTCTCTGTCCCAGCCTGCAGAGGCTCTCGACTGAGTTCAGCCACATTCTGGCTCCAGCTGTCTCTGTGCCTCAGTTTCCCTGTCCACAGTAGGGGCCCAAAGGAAGCCTCCTCGAGCCTAGGTACCATCTCTTGCTTGACAGCAAACACTAAATCAGTCAACCAAATGCAGGAGTTAATTTCTGCAAATGTGTTGTGAGATTATCATTTATAACAAGACACGTTAAATAACAAGAATCCAACTGTATCGATTTTTGAAGATCTAAAAGGCTTTATTCCTGAAATCCACAACACCCTACACCATGAGTAGGAAGGCTCCACCAGAAATTGTATAAAATAGAAGGTTTATATAGTCAGAAAGAGCTGGGGACAAGGTCATTAGCAAAAGAAAAGGAGGATCCCTCAGCAAGGCCACCTTCCTTTAAGGGGATGGGGTCTTATCTGCCTGATGACCTCACTAGTGCTGATAAGGAATCCCCAGATTGATTGGTTTAAAATTCTACTTTGGGGAGAAACTGAAACTGCAATTAGGTGAAGTATTACTCGGTGGGTCAAGCACGAAGGACTCCGTTGGGACCTGTCATTTCTTTTTCTAACAGAAATGTATATATTTGGTCTCCATCCCAAAACCAAGCCCTTGGAATTTCCTAAGCTGAGGAGGCAATCCAGGTACCTTTGTTATATTAATGCGATAACTTGGAAAGCCCCTGGTTGCCTAAGGCTGGGCACTGGCTGCCAGGGAACCTACCACGTGACTAAAGAGTTGGCTCTTTTCAATCCACCCTCCCACCCCTGAGGGGAGAGATTGAGGTCCACACCAATGGCAGTGACTTGGTCAGTCATGCCCCGGAGGTGAAGCCTCCACAGAGCCCTAATCACTGCTGACGGCATGGATGTGTGAACTGGGGCAGTCCTGGGTCTGAGCCCTTAGTCTGGGGCACCTGGCATCAGTATTAGTATCAGAACTGAGTTCACTCATAAGACTCCTGGCTGATGTGGAATTTAAGAGCGAATATATTAGCAAGTAGGCAAATCCACAAATATGGGATTCACAGATCAAGGAATGGGGGCTTAGTTTTTAAATTTAGTAATGATGTGACAGGGCAGCGCCAATGTGACATGGGTTGGCCTGACTGGTCCTCACCCACGTGCTTAAAAGGGGGCTCAACTTATAATGAGGCACACACAGAAAGGTTAATAAAGGGTTTATTTACAAAAAGGGGGAAATGAAGAAATGAAGGGCTCAGGGAGAAAGAGAGAAAAATTGGTAAGTGTGTCTTACCAGTTTTGCTGAGCTGGAACCCCAATAGCATGCGGAAAACCCATAAAAAAATCAAGGACCCCCCACAGCCCACATGTCTGGTTATATACCAAGCCTGGCTGCTAACTTGACTCAGTTCCCAGCAATCCTCCCTTGGGTGGCGATGACATTATGGGATTTGTAGTCCTTGGTGTCTGTGCTCTCTCTGGTCTGGGTCCATAAAACCTGTGTTTGTGGGGTTCGTTCAGGACATCCTTTCCCCCCAACAATGATACCATGACACAGATCGCCAGGATCAATTCTATGTGTATGCATGTGTGTATATTGAATGCATATATGTTATACGTATTATATGTGTGTATTGTGTGCTTATATGTGCACATACATTGTTACATAGATGCACATACGTGGATGAATGACATGTTATATATTCACGTAGCATTCATTCTTATTTATATATTATACTTGACTGTGGTCCCTAGGGATGCTGGCCCAGGCCCTCCAGAGAGATGGGGTACAGCTGTATCTGAGCTGGTGCTGCTGGAGGGCAGAACTGAAGGTCACTCTAAGCAGCATCAAGGCCGCATCTCATCCATTACTGAGCAGGGAGCCAAGGCTTTCCCTTGGCCAGTCAAATCAGCCTACACTGCCCTGTGCACGTAAGCTGGCCCCTGGCATGTCCGCTGGCTAGTGGCAGCCTAGACGCACCAGCTCCCCAGCAGCCTCCCTGCGAAGTCCCCTCCTGTGACTGCCATGGGGCAGCTGCGCACCCCACCTCTGCTCACCCTCAAGGCACCAGGTGTGGCAGTGGCTATTCTGTTTCCTGACTTAGACTGTTAGG